GCAGGACTTTTATCAGTTAACGAAGTAACTTAGTATAGAATGTCCCACCACAGCTGTGTTTATAATCATTTTACAAAGGCTTTTAATGTGCCTCATCCAGTCAATTTAGAGTCAGAATTATATGATATCACAATAGCTGATCTGCCACTCACTCATTTTCAGAAGAGAGTAATAGTTACACTGAGTAGAACTGATTAAGTCTCTTTTGCCATCACTTTGACTCTGACCTGTGGGCCAATTTAGTCCTTTTTTTTCTTCTTTTTTTTTTTTTTTTTTTTTTGCAAAATTATTTTCCATCATTCTAGTAAAATTCAAAGTCCTTAAAGGGTTTGATCACCTAAAATTGAAAAATCTGTCATTAGTTACTCACCCTTGTGTCATTCCAACCCTGATAAGACCTTTGTTTATCTTCGGAAAACAAATTCAAATATTTTTTTATGAAATCTGAGAGCTTTCTGACCCCCTAGACTGCAACATGATTACCACTTTCAGGGCCCAGAAAGGTAGAAAAGACAGTGTTAAAATAGTCCATGCATTGGTTCAACCTTAATGTTATGAAGAGATGAGACTACGTTTTTGTGTGCAAAAAACAAACAAACAAAATAACTACTTTATTCAACAATTTATTCTCTTCCGTGTCAGTCTCTGATGCTTTTGGCATACTAAACACAGTACAGCACTTCCAGATTCTACGCCAGATCGTGACTCCGTATTGACATCACAGGCATGTGTCGTGGTGCTCACGTGAACAGTGTCAGAGACTCACACGCAAAAAAATAAATTCTTAAAGGCATCATCGGATGCAAAATTCACTTTTATATTGTGTTTGCATATAAATGTGTGTGGTGTTTGCAGTGTGTGGACACAACCACCATACAATGAAAAAAAATCTACTTTGTATTCACTCCTTTTTTTAATCTTCAAAAAGCCTAAACACTCTCAATAATCAGGCCGTTTGGATTTTCTGAGCACTATGATGTCATAATGCTCATGCTTCGCCCATGACCACTGACGACTACTGTCACGTATTGGCATATTTCTGCCCTCAGCCATTGGACACCCCCAATGGAAGAGAAGAGTGGGGCGAGCAGTTGCTCATTTTCATTTAAAGAGACATGCACCGAAACAGGTCACTGTGAACAAAGTTGTTTTGGCAGCCCGTTCTCATCCCAAGACGTCATATAACTGACGCTTTTGACCATACGTCAACATCCAACGTTTTAGGGTACCCTTTAACGTCAGTTAGATGACGCTATCTAATCCTAACCCTAGACCTAAACCTATCCGCGTCATCTAACTGACGCTAAAGGTAAAGCGTCAGTTGGATGACGCCCTCTAGGATCATCATCTAACTGACGTTAAAGGGTACCCCAAAAGGTTGGATGTTGACGTATGGTCAAAAGCGTCAGTTAGATGACGTCTTGGGATGAGAATGTGTTGGTTTTTGAGGAAGTAAAAGGTTGTTTTACACAACCATTGAGGAATTTTAACCAAAGTATGTTACAAACTTTACACGAACACCTTAAAGAATCATTTCAACTTGGGGAGAATACTGATGACCCCTTTAAATAAAGTTGTTAGATTTGTTTTTGTTTCAATATTATTGGACATTGACACAATTTTCTTCTAAAAACAAACTATTATTTTCATGTTATCACTGTGAAGCTGCTTTGATAGAATCTGTATTGTAAAAAGCGCTATAAATAAAGGTGACTTGACGTCTTTACTACCTTTCTGGGGCTTGAAAGTGGTTATAACGTTGCTGTATGTGGAGGTACAGAAATGTGGAGGTCTTACTTTGTGTTCTGAAGATAAATTAAGGTTTATGGGTTTGGAACGATGAGTTTTTTTCCCCTTTAATCAGAGTCTCACAGTAAACACCCTACAAATGACAACTTTGTTGTTGGTTAAAGACCCACATATTGTGAATGTTTTATCAACGCAAACTGTAGGCAAAGCTGGTAAGATAAATGTTGAACCAACCATATTAACAAATAAAAGTGGTAAATTGCTCATCATTTAGCTTGAGATTTTCATTTTTCAGTATCCACAAGATTTTTAATAGAATAAGGTAACTGCACACTGAAATGTTCCTCCATAATTCATTTAACAGTGTGACTTTATCGTATTTAAACTATTTAGGTTCACACTTATTGTATTTAGTATCACAATCACTCAATAGACATAACGAGCCTGTAACATCATTATGATTTTTCATATAAAAATGCCCGCAGACTTTATTAAAATAATCTGACCTGCTTTATTATCGGATCTCTCAATGACTCTCTAAATTGGCTGCTCTGCTTTTGTCTACAGCCTTGTGTGCTGGAGTATATTTTATGCAGGGTCCCTCCTCTAACAGCAAATGCTATTGAGCCTGCTAGTCGCAAGTGAATGCTGCTCCTCTTTCTGTAAACAATAGACGCTTGACCCCTGCCACAGGCTCACATAAAACTCCAGTGCCTCTCTTCAACACTCTGCTGCCTTTAACGTTATTCATAGAGAGAGAGAGGGCCGTAACAAAGGTATGATTTAGATGCCTTGTTCTGAGATTCACTCGGACAGTCATGCTGCTGACGAATACGGTTTTCGTTTCGTTAAATCAGCGTGTGATTAAATTTAGCAAATATAGCAAATAGAGATTCTTGTGCAACCCTGATTGAGTTTATTTATTTACACACACCAAAATTAGGACCATTACCAGTCTATGACTTTTTTTGACACTTTTATGTCCATGGGGTTGTTATTATTATTATTATTATTATTAATCAAAGGTGCCATATCATGGTATTTACTAAATTTTTTTAAAAAAAAATATTGTTTTTAAGGGAACTTGTACAGTATGTCCCATGGTATTGTTAATATTTATTCATTAAAGATGCCAGAGTATTTACAAAATAGTTTTTTTGTTATATTGTTTTTATGGGAACATTATTTATACTTTTGTTAAAACTCCTTTCAGACTTTCAATGCTAAACTATGAAATTATGTTATAAACACACTTGAATATATTGGACATTTTAAATTAGACAAATTAAATAAACTGGTGAGACTGTGAAAGTGTGTTTTAAGGTCTTGACAATAAACCAACTGCTGTGTTTTAATTCTGCTCTTTACAAATATTTTTCAAAAGGCATTTTCTCACCGTACCGTTGCGTGGACCAGGTACTATGTGGACTAGACTTTCTGTCACTAAGCCATTTGCTCAAAATGCATGCAACACTTTGCTATTGCAGGTCAACAGAAATGATACCAAGGCACCTTTTATGCTAGCACTCCTGTATATCTGCAGCAAGGCCGGAGGGGGATTTGAAGGAGGCAGACTCCATCATTGCTCTAGAGTGCTATTGATTCTTTATTAAGCCAGTGAGCAGTTCATAGGGGGATCTTTGGGTCCCCTTCACGCAGTCATCCTTGAGAGGAGAGTGCCGTTTATCTGTTGTGACAAAGTGCTGGCTGGACTGGAAAGATTTTTGTTCAAAGGTGCCCCTTAGAAAACCTCAAGCACCATTGTAATTGCAGGGTGTTACAAAAATTATTATCATCTCTGTATTTTTAAATTTGTACGTTATGTTATTTTAAGTAGGTAGGCATCTTAGAATATTAATGTACAATTTTGAAACCGAGACATAAATAAAACTGAAAGAAGTCCTGGCCCTTTAAGGGGGAAAAGTGTGTTGTTTTTTCCCCCCTTTAATCTATGATGGATACCCTAATACCATAATACCTTGGCATGCTGTTGTTATTTTTGTAAATATTTTGCAGCACCAGAGGTAGGAGGTAATCTCATGTTGGAAACAAGGGATTGCTGGAATTAAAAGCCAATCATAACAAAAAAAAAAAAATACACATATATTTTACTATTGCTATCACTCAACGAAATACACTCAAAAGAGTAATACTTTTCAAGGATTAACCTTTTCGTGTAATACGTGAAGGACTGAGAAGTTGCTGCTGTATTACATGCCTGAGGAAACCTCAAGAGAAAATCCTTTTTGTATTATGCATCATAGCTTCTGGACGAGAAAGTGTATTCAAGCAGACTGATTAACTTAGATTGCAGAGTGTGGTGTCATCTGGAACAGCGCAGTCAAGACTCGCGCCCACCCTCAGACTCCATTTAGTGTCAGCAGAGGCTGGTGAACCAGTGACTGGTCCTGTGGTGTCTGACATATGCTAGACCAGACACCAGCAGACATCCCCAATGGCCTTGCCCTGATTATTGAATATTGGAAAAAATTTCCCCCTGCTTTGAAATAGTAGATGACAGACTGGGAGGAGTGACATGTCATAAAACAAGTGTGTCCTCTCTGCATACATGTTATTGTGCTTCTGAAACAAGCCATCAGTGTTCATTTTTCTCTTCTGTCCACACATATAGCTATCAATATACACCATACATTAAAATTAAAAGTATCATTACAAATATATATATATATATATATATATATATATATGGATAATTAAGAATAAATAAATAAAAAAAACCTTAAGATCTGCAGTTGAAACTTTGCTGTTGTTGATGTGAATGGGGGCATTTTGAAAATGTGGGTTAATTAGTCTTGAAACGTTTTCCCTGCTGCAACAGCTGTGGCATAATTGATAGAGTGCTATTTACTTCACAGAGTAAAATTATGCATGAAACACACTTTAAAATATACAATTATGGCTCTGTAGTAATGTTGAAAAGGTTGTGTCAGTTACATTTGCGTGATGTAATTAATGCTACCTAGACTTGGGAGGGGATCAGCTTGGCATGACCATGGCACAATGGATGGGAGTGGAGAAAAGAGGATAAGCACACACACAATTAACGCTGGAAATGGATGGCTATGATTTTGGAGGGTTATTCTGTCCATAAAAAAATGTAAATGCATTGGATGTGTGCTTGTTTCGGGTGAATCTGTTCAGCATTTTCACTGAGCTCAGTTTTGGATGTGCCAGTCATCTCTACCGGGAATGCGTGTCAGTGATATCTGGTTGTGGGATTGTTATCTCACCGATATTTGTAGAACTTGGTGTTGAAAAGAGCCATGAAAGAGCCAGGCTTTCACTTCTGGAGTTCAGCCAAGTTGCCAATCTTCAGTTCTAAAACAAAATCAAACATATTTTCAAAAATAGAATGACAGTTACAAAGACACACACTCACAGAAGTCTTTTTTGTTTCAGTCTCACATTGTTGGTTCTGCCATGTGTATCCATTAACAAACAATTCGCTCCCTTAACATCTAAGACACCGAATACCTTTTACTTCCATCTTGCAACTGTTTTTTTTTTCCCCCCACCGTTTCAATTTGAACTTCATGCCAGAGCTTCAGGAAGGTGAAGGCAAGGTGGGAGTCTTACAAACGCAAGGTGCAAGCCAGAAAAAGGGAAGAAGAAAAAGAAAACCACACACGCCATCCATTGGTCTTTGTATTGATTCACAGGGGTGTTGAAAAGGTCTTTGGTCATGCCCTTACCAAAGCATACTAATTTGCTCGATCAAGTCTGTCAGAATATCGACTGGGAGGAGGTACAGCGCCCGCCATTGTGTTTTCTTCAGCGGGGAGCCGGTCTGTGAAACAGGATTACCAGAGGTCACGCAGGCAGTGAAAGGATGTCCATCACTTTCTGTCTGCTAATACAAAGGGGCGGGAACTGGGACGTGATTGAGATGTTGAAGACAAGAGGAATGGCAGTTTCAAAAAAGAAAAAAAGAGAAAAACATCTCTTGCATGCAAATGTCTCACTGTTAATGTATTCATAGCCATCTCACAGAGTTTTAATCACAGGAGATGGCTGGCTTACAGTTTCCTGCTGCTGTATTTCAGGTTCAGAAACAGAAGGTTGAAATTGAACACTGCTGCCTCGTTTGCTGAAGCAGAAAACGTGATGTCAGCTTTATTGTAACATGTCATAAATTTGACCTTGACAGTGACAATGAGTCAGTTTTACATAATAATTAATTTCTAAAAAAAAAAAAATCATCAGCTGATAAAGGCAATTTATACAGTCTAGATGTGAGTGCAACAGCATTTGTCTGTTATGATGAGCAATAAATGAGAGTAATGATTCTGAAGTGAAACATTTGATGTAAAAGTTTAATTTTCGCCACGCGTTACTAAATTTATTATATTCATTTTGAATTGGCTTGTACATTTAATGCTTAGGAAAAATGGTCAGAACTGTGAAGAAAGCTTTTAGAGGGTTATTTGCTTTTTAATTGTTGGTTATACATTTAAATGTTCATCATATTGCAAAAATCTTCTGCATTATTGACATTTGAGATGACAAAAAACAAGATTTATATTGCATTCTCTAAGACAAACATCCCATTTTCAACATGCTGTATATTATAGATAAATGTTTCACAGTCACTTTGCCTAACTATATGTTACCCATGAACGTGGGGCTCTATAAATAACCCATTGTTCCCGGACTCCTAATGTTTCCTAATCTGTGCACTCTCCTGAAATTCTACGCCACATCATCCAACAAGCCTCTTTGCTCAACAGTGGTTTTTATTATACCCATTATTATAACAAATATCCAATTATCTATTATCTTGTAGATCTGATTGTATCCCGCTTTGTGGCGGTAAGGTCAAATACTCGTGCCTCTATACGTGGAACATCTGCCTGTGCTTCCTGTCTCATCTACAGCCCTCGTGGCCAGCAGCCCTTTTAACCTGATCACATAGGTATTTTGCTTTCATTCCCCCCCCTGCGTTTTGTTTGTTTGATTGGCTGAGCAGGTGTTTTATAACCATTAGAGACTTCATTGCGACCCTGTCTCTGAGTAGTAAGCAAATAGAACAAGCAGACAGCCAAGTCATGCAAGTGATTTCTTTCCCTCAATGGAACCATCTGGTGACTGAGCGAAAGAAAAAAAAGGAAGCATAGGTCCTCAGTGTGGCTGTTTACCTTTGGCTACATAATTGTGTTTCGAGGAAAGCGTGATGTCATGGGGAGGCTGACAGTCGGTTCGGCAGGTTGCAATGTGTCCTTGTTTGCCGCGATTTAATTATTGATAATGTTATCATACTGAACGTTGTTGTCTAAAAATTGAACTTAAAGTTTTTTATCATATATCTTTAAACTGAAATAATTATATTTAATTTTTTAATATCATTTCTATCTAATCTAATAAACAAATCTAATCTATCTAATAAACAAGATATGTTTATTTATTTATGTGCTCTCTCTTTCCTTTGTTAGACGAGTGTCCATCAGTCAATTAACGTTGTCCGCCAAGAGTCATCACAGTTATTGTTGTAACTAAAGCAACTGTGACTCCAGCAGTGTTGACCGTTGGAAAGATTGAAATGTTTGCTTTGAGTTTTTTTCACTGGTGTCAATAAACATTCAGAATAGACATTCATCCCTCCTCGTACTGGGCAGACCATTACGCCACACTACTACATGTAATTATGAAATTGATGATAATTACTGAGTGACTCGTTAATCTCTCATTAGGGCATTGTGTATAAACTCAATGACATGCAAATCAGTTTAACGAGAACAGAAGAAGAGGATGAATACTTGAAAAAGAATCATCAAGAGCAACTTATTAGCTGTGGGAAGACATACAATATTGGCTGGAGTAAGAGAAAAGCATTTATATGTGCTGATTTTTTTTTTTTTTTTTTTGTACAGAAGAACAGTTATTAGTTTAGCTTTGAATGTTAATTTAAAATGAATTGGAATGTTCTGTAAAAATGCGAATTTAATTTTTTTTTCTATACACAGGGACCTGCAAGTATTTGAACACTTAATTACAAAATTTAAATTAAAACTAAGATGCCAAAGCAAATGGCATCTGCGAATAGATGAGGCTAAAGCCTGAAAACTTGCTCAAAACTAATTTCACTTTTCCTTTATTTTTTTACTGGTGTCAAGGTGATTTTTAGGGGATATATAAAACTAGATTCCCTCAAACGTAATGTTGTTCATCATATTAGCTATAAATACTTCAAACTGCTTAAATGCTTAATTTGGAAAAGTATGTAATGTTTTATGTGAAAAAAAAAAAAAACATACTTGCTACTAAACAGTAATAATACACACTAACTTATAAATTCTGTATATTGTAGAATATTATACCTTAATAGCCGAGTGTATAAAGCCCATTTTCTCCATGCATGTTGGAGGTGTAATTTTATGGTTAAAATATTGAGCAATAAACCCAGCATCATGCTTTTACAGATGTATTATATGTGTTGAGTAGCATCTGAACAGGAATGTTTACCTGAACACTGCTTGACTGAATCTGTAAGCCCTCAGATGTGTGTGCGTGCGACAACAATTCTGATAAAAGCTTGACTCTCATGGCCTAATTGATTTATTTACAGTGATCTGGTCTTAGTGGGAAGCCCCTTTCATGTTGATTGATCACTGCAACATGCAGCAGATTTAACAGCACAACAAACCTTTTTGTACTAATGACCCGGGAGCATTAAAGCTCTGGGGCAATGTCTCCATTCATGCAAAAGTGTGGATTTGCAGCTCAAGTGAGAGAGGGGACTTGGTTTATGTGTTCTTAAGAAGCTGCACATAATGAACAATTTCTCCTAATGGAAAATTATCCCTGTTTCTCTTTCCCGAAGCCGAGGCCCCGGTAAATTGATGTATCTGTCCTCTGAGGGTTTCACCGTCACATTACGGCATTTTAAAATATTAATATGAGAGTGCATTTAGCCAGGAGTAGCGAGGCACAGCTACACTCCCTTTGCTTTCATGTAGGTCACAAGAGACTGACTCCCTCTCTGTGGCTGTTTTTGTCTGTCTGTTTCATTTTGTCTCTTTCTCCATTCCTCTCTCTCATTTTATCCAGCTAATCCAAATGTTCCCCCCATTTACTATACACATATATAGATAGATATATAGTGTGAGTGTGTGTTTTGTTTGCTTGTTTTGCATTACTATTTTGATTTCCTTTTACAGTCATTCTTCAATTGGCATTCAGTAAGCGATGGTGGTGGTGCCCTCTTCCCAGCCGTGGCTCTCTTGCCAGTTCAAACGCTGATTAAAGCAGACTACGTGTCACATCCTGTTACAATATGAGCCAGAATGTGGAATCCTGGGAGATTTGAATAAAGAATACGGTCAGATTTTCTCTCCGCTAGAGTCTGAGTGGATAAATGTTTTACATGGCAGTGTTGACCGTTGCCATTGTAATTAGAACTGTGAAGGACACACAGGGATTCACATATTATGTTACAATTAATGATGATATGCTTCACAAGTGTTGTCGTTTTAATTGTTATTTCATGTTCTATTGCCAGTTTTTTTTTTATGAAATTTTATGCAACAGACACTATTACTTGAACAACAACTATTATATATTACTGTTATTAACTATTATCTATTGTCTGCTTGTATAGCCTAATTTTTTATATTTTTGACTTGAATGAACCCAGTTATTTAGAGTATTATTTCAGCATATATTTTTTTCACATGCAGAATTTTTCTGTATTGTATACGTTAATGTATACTGTATTGTATTGTATACGTTGTATACGTATGTCTGTATTGTATACGTTAAGAGCTTGGATTAATATCTTTTTAAAGACAATAAATTAAACAAATGTATAAATGTAAGCCTTTGTCTTTGCATAGACTGACATGTTCAATATTTACTTCAAGGTCAAAGAAACTCCATATGGCAAAGGATCAGAGATGTCATAAAGAGGGAATATGTCAGGGGTTGTAGTTTATTGTGAATCACTGTTGACAGAATTGCTGGGGCAGCATGATTAAAAATTGATAAGGAAACATTCATGCGTTGTGATCTTCCCTCACCATTTTAGGGAGATAGAAATACAGTCTCTGGATGGGGTTTTTTAAAAAGTAAGAGTGGTAATATCTCAAGTTTTGATAGCATTTGCGAGCTTTGAAAGCAAGCCAAACTTGCTAGCTAAACCAAAAAAGCAGAAAATTGTTCTCAAAGACACAAAGCCACACACAACGATAATGTCATACCACAGTTCAAATTCTGAAAGAAAAGGACTGTTCAAAGTCAAACTATATGGTAAATATAAAAATAACTATAACGATAAATATATAGTGTCCACTATGCACGCATCTGCCGCTTTAAATGCTCAAGATCATTAAGGCCCTGGTGTTCACACCAAAGACGACAACTGTAACAATAACGGCACAAATAAACAATATTTTTGGAATCAGAATGATTTTGTTCAAGCTGATGAACGATAAAAACAATGACATGTTATAGTTATCCTGAACGGACATTTTAAAATCTGGTGGATTCTGATTGGGTGTCATTGTTTTTCATTGATCTTTCATCAGCTGGAAAAAAAAAATTCTTAATGTGATTGCAACATAATTGTTTCTCTGTGCCGTTTTCATTATAGTTGTGGTGTGTGGACTCTGCACTTTTATATTTAGACCATTTTTAAAACTATATACTGTTCTCGTTATAGTTATCATCCTTGCTGTAAACAGGCCAGAAGACCTACAAATTAATTAACTATTTGTTTACTTTTAGAATGTATATGCTTGAATCTTTACACTTACTCAGTTGTTTCGTTTTAATTAGAAAACACACGAGAAGTGTATGATAAAGTTTAAAAATTGTTCTAAATATAAAAGAATGTCAGAGTCCACCACAACTATAACAATATTCGTTTCTCTCATCTCGTATACAGACTGGTTAACACTGCATCTACAAACACGGTTGGCTCAGTGTGTTAGTATTTCGTGTTGATTGTTGGATTTCAAATGTTGGGAAACATTTAGTAACTGTCATTTTCACGCTGCCTCAAAAAACACCAACAAGGGTAACAACCTAACAATTGGCATGAGTTTGTGTTTGTTGGGGCAGTTTGAACTAAACATACAACAACACATGCATCAACAACAATAATAAATCATTCTCATCATCCATTGTATTCCTTTTGCGTTCCATTCTCATTCAATACTACTAGTAGTCCTTTGTGTACAATGCTGTGTTGTTTCTCTGTCATGTAAAGGCAGTTTAGTGTTTGCTTTTATGAGGTACACATGGCAAAGTGCATGCAAACAGAAGAGTGTAATATGGTAATCAAATTAGCACAACACATCAAAGGTCCTGGCTTTTTACAGCACCATTTTCAGATCACAATTCACAACGGCAAGAGCCAATACAATAAAGGGCTTGGCAGCGTTAGCGATGATTCTGGCAGAGGACTTTAGAGTGGAGCAGTGTTCAGTGAAAAACATCATATCACTCTAAATCCACTTTCACATTAAGAACATCTTCTATGAATATTTATTTGCGAATACTGATGAGATGTCAAAAGCAACCATAACACCTTTGGTGATGATGTGGATTTTATATTAAGATGCAATTCTCTTTGCAAATTAAACTTGATCATAACCATAAAGGTTCAAAGGTTTAGTAAAGACATTTGAGTGAATTGGTTAAAACTGGCTACAGGTGTTCATAATTAGGGGTGTAATGGTTCACAAAATTTCATGGTTCGGTTCGATACGATACGGTGGTGTCACGGTTCGGTGCGTTTTCGATACAGCAAAAAAGAAAAAAAATGCCAGAGAAATTTCCTATTCATTAAAAGATTTTTTTAAATAAATGTGAATTTTCCTAAATCTTCAAAATGTATGTTTTATAAATGGGGGTAGAATTTGTAAATGGGGGCGAATCTTTGAAAGATGACCAAATAATGTATAATACTTGTTAAAACATCATATTTCAGTTTTGAAGAGCTGGGAAAGGATGTTTGATATAATTAAGCATTTTACTATTTCTGCCAAATTTCCATGTTTACAGTTACTAGGCCTACATTAAATCCATGGCAAATGTCACTAATTTCTGGACTTAAAGCCTGTAAATAGCCTAATTCATGGCACAATAGTTTGATCCCAAAGAAGAAGAATGTGAACAGCAATCACTGGACTACCGAGTCGCTTTCACCCCAAAATGGTGGAAGCGTAGCGCTGCTGGGCGCTGGTGTTGCAATGTAACATTCTATTGGCTTTCACTTCTTTTCAATATGCATTCTTTGTTGTCTAATATGCTGATTTCACGCAGCCGCTATTTTGAAATCGAAAGCGAGGCTCAGGTGGGAAGAACCCCGGAAGTACATATAAAACAACAATGCCTTACCAGAAGCTGCTGCCACAATTTACACTATTGGATGTTAGTGGATCAGCGATTGTGGGTAACGCCACTTTAGCCTGGCTGCGCCCTCCTACGCACTTCCGCTCAATTTCATTTTACTTCAGTACAAATGAAATGTACTAGAGTCTGGTTGAACCAGCCTAACGCCACTTCTGTTTGTGGCGAGATCCCAAACAAACCAAGTTAGCTCGCCCCTCCCACCCATTTCATGCATCATGAAAAAAAAAATGATCATATGCATTTCTTAAAGCGACAAAAACAGACTATTTTCAGAATGACGGTCTACTTCAATGATGGCTCACTTTGTGAACTGTAAAATGTGAACTTGGCTACTTTGTATTACAAAGTATATAGGCTAATGATGTATATAAAATCTGCAGTCGAGTCATATCATACAGCTGGTGCTTCACTAAGTAGCTGTATAAAGTACCAGAATCAGCTCTACAGATCTAACGTTATGGGTAAAACTCATGGTAACAACAGCTATTTGGAATAATATTATAATATCTTATTATTATTATTCGGCTAAAGTTAGTCCTGTAGGCTAATGTTATTGCTAATAGGCTACAATGTTATGGCTAGTACACAACAAAGTAGACACATAGGCCTATTACAAACCAACTCATACACTAAATCCCCACAATCTGATATTCGCTAGATATATTTATTAAAGAACTATATTTTCACACACACACACACAAAAAAGCCAGCACTAAAATCTACTCACTTGTCCAGAAGAAACACTGCAACCTCGGCGTCCGCAATTTAAAAAAAAAAATCAATTCTTTGAGCTCTTTCCACCGTTCAAAAGCCTTCCCGATAATTATTAAAACGACGGTATTCCCTCGCCCTAATCCTCCTCTTCTTGGGGATTGCCTCTTCCATGTTCTGTTGATATAGACGCTGGCTTATTTTTCAGCTCCGACTTCGCGTTCAGGCGCTGTGAACGAGCGCAAAAACAAACAAAACCCTCTTCTGTCCGGTGATTGGTTAAAACACTGGTTATTTTGATTTTGAGTGGTGGTTGTACCTATTTGTTTTTGTGTGCAGATCTCATAGCCTAGGCTGCCTACAGAGACGCGTTTTCTGACAGCCTGCTTATGGGGCAGGCAGCAAGCGGATCGTTAGGAAAGATTAGATAAATGTGATCAATTTTGTTTGGGCCTGAAATCGCTGATAGAACCTTAAATATCCAATATAGGATATGTATATAGTTCGTTCCTGCTTCTTTTTTTACTTTCTGAACTATATCTAAATATATATATATATTTATAAATGAATTTCACTGTATAAAGTATGAAAGAAATGTATACATTCTTAGAGTAACAAATTTCTACATTTCTACACTCAACAATACGCCATCTCATTTAATTTTATTTCGATTTCAAATTAACGGCTGCATGAAATCAGCGTGTAACGCATAGACAGTAAAAGAAATGGACACAGCGACCTCATTGATTTCAATGGAGAAAATTGAAGCCCTTTAAAATCTGATCGCCCGGCGTACTGCGCAAGCTCAAACTGAACCTGCACATGAGCAGCCTGTATGTCTTCTAGTAGCTGTGCCGAGTGAAATCTGAATAATTCCCTTCCGAATCTCACAGAGATGAAGAGAGTGAGTATTAGCTGTCCATGAGCTAGCAGCAGGCGCAACCTTATGACTCTCTATGGGCTTCTCCCCTGACTTTATCAGACTTTATGCCTCCACATCTCCCCGATTGCCTGCAAGCTTCTTGTCTACACGGTAATTTCATTACTGTGCGACGGAGAGTCGATTCGTTATGACACAATCGTTATTTTTTACAAAAACTGCTTCAACGGGGCCATAACGTAAGATAGTAATGGAGCCTTTTACATTGTCGTGTTTCTTTAGAAATAAATAATGGACAAATAGGTCTTGGGACGCCTCAGATGTAAAGTTATTTGCTGTCAAAGTGACACCAAAAAGACTGGCATTGGTTCAAACTGATAAACGGTCCGTGAAGCACAAAATAATGAGTTTAGTTCCACCTTCATTATGTGTGCCATTTGATGTTGCACAACGTTGTGATGGTTTTGGGTCAGTAGGAAAAATGGTCCAACGAATCGTTCGGTTTGTAATGCGTAGCCTATTGCGTATGCGAATCAGTTCAATACGAATAGGCTACGTGTATCGTTTCACCCCACTATCAATACCTTTTAATAATGATCTTTACATAAATAATAGGCTACATTAAATAAAAAGATTGTTTGCAAATAGATATTCAAATAGTTTGATATTTCATATTCAAACAGCCTTCATAAACTGAGCATGTAAAGATCATTGTAAAATGATTTCTAACTTAATTAGTTGAATGATTTGATCATATTTATAATAATAGTTGTTAGAATATTTTTAATAGTGTCAAATGGTTTGATATCAAATATAGCCTATACAGTATACATGCATTAAATTGACATACATTTCATAGATCACATTGAAAAGGATTTTGTAATTTGTAAACAATTTGGTTGGTGAAGTCCAGTATATTCATTATTGTGCTTGTGCTTTGACATTATATCTTTTTAACAGTGTGATGAACATCCTTGGCTGTATCTCGGTGAGATGGACATGGAAGCATGGATGTGAATCTGACAGCGGCCCCGCCGTACTAAATAATTGAGTGGCCACTCAGCTGGCTGGGAAAACTTATTAACAGGGGAAAGGAAGCAGATGGTATGAAACTTGTCATTTGGCAAAACAGTACAGAAAAAGTAAGAGAAATTAACTCAAGCAGTCATCACTCCCTATGTCTTGAGTGTTGCGTACAACACTCACAGGAGGTGGGATTACTGTCCGTATCACGGAGGTATTCCCTGTTCACATCTGGACAACTCGTTCCTCGTGTCAGCATTAAAGTTTCAGGCGGCGCGTGGCTGAAGAATCCGAGGCGGTTGTTCTACATGCTGGGATCCCTGAAGAAGCACTGCTGGAAGGCAGCCATGGGCAACAGTGTGTCACAAACAGAGTCTCCAGGTGCTGCCCTGGAAAAGACTCGTGTTCAGTTAGCACCTTCAGGGACTCGGAGCGTGTTCACTTTCTTCCTGCATGAAACAAATTGATCGTGTTACAAGAAGATTCGTGTTTCTGTGAAGCACTTCTAATAGTTGAGGCACCTGCATAATCATATTATATTTTACGCATAATAGAACAACAGTTGCATGGCTATTGTGCCAGCGGAGGAACTACAGTGCAACACTGATTTAAGGCCTTCCTTTTAAATGCAATTCAGATCATGGCAACGGTTCATCTAAAGTGCTGGTCTGAAAAGAAAGCCAGCCATGATGCTGACCCCCCCGTGCTACACCTAACCTTCACAGTAATTGCACTGCACTCACTCAAGCACAGTTTGGTTTACACCCATCCACAATGGTGCTTATGGAAATATCTCAATGTGTGGCACACATAATATCTCTTAATTAAAGAATAATTTCAAATGTCCACAACTCTGCTTTTCATGCAGACATGAAATGGCTCTTCTTGTCCCGAGAGACTTGAAGTGATGTTTTTATCTGACTCTGGCAAAAGTGAGCGTGCGTTTTCATTATGTAGTGGGCCACAAGGTTGCTAATGGATTTTGAATTTTTGATTGACACGACTGTTTGCTGCATCTATACAGTTTTAGTTAGAGTTGCTTTGAAAGCATGTCATTCGCCTACTTTGCTGTTGATTATGAATTCAAATATCATAAATTAAAAAAAACATGATCTTTCATGAGGTTATTCTGTTATATGCTCTAAGTTTATTTAATCTCTACATAATCACAATGCAGTTTTTCCAAAAACAGGAACTGTTATAGAGATTTTATAAGATTGATTTACAATCGACCTCATCAATTCATATATACATCCTCCTGGAAATATCAGAGACTCTGTAACATTGTAACCGTATGAATGGTCAGAGTGTGAGTGTCTGAGTTTGTGTTGATGAGACCTGACAAACAAATGAGGGTCTCTGCATGGCAGGCAGCCACTTATGAAAAAAACAACAGCATCAGCTGCAGTAACTCTTCGACTGCACCTCTTAAAGCATATCCCTTTTGACAGGACTAAGGTTTTTTTTTTTTTTTTGTCAAGGTCATTCATGCATTTGTCCTTTTTTTTTTTAATACCAGCCATTGCTAGCAAGTATTTCATTTTTTTACATACATACAGTCTCCCAGATTGAATGTCTCTTGCATCACAGGCAGAAACACATCTTACAGTATAAGCTACCTGTGAAAAAGAAATATATACAACTGTTTGTTGGTGAAAAGCCTGTTTTCTTTCTATAGAAATGTCTACAAAGTTTGTATAATTCAGTAGCAGAAAGGACATACCAAGAACAAGAGCCACAATATCATGGAAGGAAAGGAAAGATATGCAGTTTCTTGTAGAAAATGCTTTAAAATTCTCATCTTTATCAAATGAAACGAGCAGCAAGCATTCAAGAATTACTTGGGGGAGGGTATAATGTTATATTTTTATATAACAAAAAAAATAAATAAATAAAATAAAGAAAGAAAACTAAATATGAAAAGCTGTTTTATGTCTCAATATCCACAGTTCCATATTATTCATATTGTTCTCCTAAACACTGGCATCCTACATGTCTCATAAGCCATTTTATAAACCACTGCAGAGAGAATGTCAAAAGTTTCCCAAGACGACTTCCTGTGGTGGTTGTCATGATTTGGTCCGCTTTAAAGGCCGAAAGAGAGGAAGAGGCCCCAGTAATCTTTCATTCTTTTCAGGTGTTTAATTCGTGGAAGTTACTATGGAGACAATCTGCAGTCTTACTGATCTCCTTTACTTAAAAGCTGTCATCAGGGGAAAGTCCATTTGTAAACGTGTCTCCAGCGTACTCAGAGGGACATGTACAGCTCCCCCCACAGACTGTCTTAACTATTAGTCTAAACATAACATTTGTCAGCATGTCATTTCAGCACCTTAAAGCAATTGCTTCAAGTTTTTCTAACATGGGATAAGAAGCCAAGGGTGAGGAGCAAGTCCTTTTTTTCCCAACAGGAGGATGTCTGTTCTGTGTCAGGCTGT